CAACCATCAACAAAATTTATCTAGCAACGAGACTATAGAACAATATTATCAACAAAATGGTGACGGTTATCAGCTTATGAAATATAAACAAACTAATACTGTTGAAACGAGTTCACGACATACAAGTCCTGATTATTCGAATTTTTATTTGGCTATGCCGAATGGCCAATGGATGGTTAGAACAAGAACGGTTGCTAGAAAAATTACCGGTAAAATAATTACAATAATTTTTTTTTTTTTTAATATTTCATTTATTAACTTTTAATTCCTTTAACAAATTTTTTTTTAAAGGTACTCAATACGTTGACCAAGAACGTATATAGAGACTATTTTGTTTTATTTGTTTTACACGAAATTTTTTTTTTTTTAAATGATTTAATGTACATGAATAAGATTTCAACTTTGGTATATTTGATTATAGACAATACAATGTCTTGATTTGACATTTTTTTTTTGATCATGGAAATTCCGGAGTAAATTCGGAAAAAATATAAATTTCACTAAATATCGCTAAACTTTTTTTTTTTTTACTTCTGAAGAGAGGTCTCTATATCAACTTCCAATAAACTTTGCATTTTTTCCCCTACATGTCATAAATTTGGTTTCATAGAGTTATTGTAAATAAAATTTTTCGGGAAATTTTCTTTGAATTCGTATCTGATTAACTAGTCTCAAACACAAACTCGCTCAAATCTTTTTTTTTTTTTTTTTGTCGGGTCATTTAGTTGGTGTAAGAATGTCAAAGTGATTAAATGATTGATCTGCATTCAAGAATTTTCATAAATTTCCACTAAATTTTTTGCTAATAAAAATAAGTAAAAGTTGAAAGCTTGACTATCGTGACTCGTGACTCAGCGACAACTCAGGTTTGTCATACGTCGTCACACTTGAACAGACGAAATTTTAATAAATACGATTACTTTTGGAACCTACAAAAAAAAAAGGTCTTTTTATATTTTTTATCACTTGCTGCGCCCCCTCCCAAAACAAGAGTCCTAAAATTTATACATTTTAAATAATATTTTTTACTTCAAGAAATTTTTTTTATATATAAAAGCAACATAAAAAAAAAAATTTTTTTCGAGTCCCAAGGTCTGTGTACCTTGATATATTGATATAAGATTTTAATATGCAGTCAATATATAACGAATTAAGCATTGAAATATTCAAATGTATACCAAATCCCATCAACCTTTTAGTTTCAAGTCGTAAATGGTATAATATTTCTCAAGACCCTCATGCCAGAGCCGAATGGTTAATTTATAAATATGGTAGAGCACATGCATTATTTCACGCTGTGAGGCTCGGCAATAGCTTCATAACGGTAGAAGTTATACAAGCTTTGCTTTCAAAAAATGTTATCCTTTCAAGATATTTTGTTCAACGGATGCTCATGCATTTCGGTAAATATGATGAGAATCTTATTGATCGACTTGGTGAACTCCAAAAAAAATTAACTTCGCCTTGGGGAAGTAATATTTCTTTAGTAATTTTCACCAAATTAATTACTGAAGGATATAACATCTTGAATGATCCTGAACTTGCAGTTAAAGGGAATGATATGGAGTTATTTCACTTTTTATCAGCTGGTCCCCTTGTTATCAATCACGCGCCTGACAAGCTTCGTCAAAATCTTAATCTCATTAAAGATTTAATTTTGAAAAAAAAATTTGTCCCATTTCCACCACGCCCAAAACCTACATATGAAGATACAGTAGAATACATTCAATTGATACAAGCCAGAGCTCATGAAGAATATCCACCAAAAGATGGTTATGAGAACAGTCGTCAACTTAATGTAGTGGCTAGAGCAATATTAATCCATCCTGATTTAGTAATCTTGTGGAAAGAAATTGGTTATCGTGAGATTTGTAGCGATGTCAATGAACTTGTAATGCAAGGCGCCTTATTGATTCTTTTCCCTCCTACTCCGCCAAATAATTGGGAATGTCCTGACGTGCGTACTATTGTTGATCGTTTAAAACATCTTACTGAACTAGGATTTCAATTAACCGATAATGTTATAGAAGAGATATTTCACTATTTTGAGCATAAATTAAGCGAGATTGGTGACCTTTTAATGAATTCTTTTCAAGTAATTCGTAAAGAGTCAAAATCGGATATTGTAAGTTCCTGTCTTATTCAAGCAATTAAACCAGAAAGAAAATTTAAAAAAACTGATTTATTAGAATTTTTAATTAAAAGAGTTGATAATCCTAAAGAAGCTTTAAAAAATGCATTAGATCATCATAAAGTTGGATTCAAGTTCAATGCAAAATTTATTAAAACAACAAAGGAAATTAGATCGTTATCTGTTAACTCCAATCTTTATTATTGGATTCTGAAAAATTATGGTCCGAATTCTGAAGTAACTCAGAAATGTTTTGATGACATTATTGAGTCCAGAATTTGGGTAGATTTAAAATTACAAGAAACTCCAGATAGAGAAGTTCCGGAGGGACTGACTATCGGCGCCTTTAATTCTATTTGCTCAATTTATTTAGAATTTTGTGAAGAGAAGGTTCCATTCAAAGCGAATATTTTGCAATATTTACAATTGATTAATAATTATGAAATAATAAATCCATTTTTTACCTATTGTATTTGGTATACAATTAATAGAGGAATTACCTTTGACGATTAGAGCAATATCATAAATATACAGTATATGTATTTATTATAAGTCACGAGATGTTATTTAATAAACAAAAAGAAATCAATAAAATAGTAAATTTTATTATTTAGTAAATTTTCAAAGAAAATTGGCAGTTTGGCCATATTTTGGCCGGAATTAAAATTGAATTTGAGTTAACTATATGAATTAAAATTTGGTTCTTCAATTATTAATGACTTGATAGAGTCGATTTTTATTTAACCGTAAAAATATCAGAACGTATGTAAATCAGATAGATCAATTTTTATAAACTGTGCTCTTCAAAAGAAATTAACTTCATGGGGAATAGCATATCTTTGACGATGTTTATTATATCATATTAAATGTTGGAATTGTTTAATTTTTTTTATAAGCCGGTCCTCTCGTCGTTAATCAAGCTCCTCAAAAAACTTCTTCATAACCTTGATTCTATTAAAAATTCACAAAAAATTTATTTGTTTATTCCACCTATTTCACAAAATAATTGGGAGTTTTCTGATGAATATCGCGACATAATTTTTTAACCCATATAAAAATGTGGTTGGCTTTTCCAAATCCTTATAAATGTTCATGGAATAGTCTCTGATAAAATGGCTGTCCCGTGACTTATGAATTTATCTGTAATAAGATTGCCGGGCAAAACTCTGAGGTTTCGACAGGCATCGAAATCGAAACCCATCGAAACGTTTTGCCAAATTTTTTATTAAAGGCAAAATTGCGAAAGTTTCGACGGGTGGCAAAAGTTTTGACGGGGGCAAATGTTTCGACGATGGCAATATTAAAAATTTATTTTGAATTTACGAGTTGGGTTTAATTAGAAATGTGTTCTATAATACTTCTATCGGTGTTAACGGATCATCCTGTCAGGAGTGGTCAATTCACCAAAAGGAGTTTTAGCGATTTCTTCGTCGTGTATAATAATATTTGTCAAATCATTCATCAAATTTTTTGACGGAATCCACCAATAGGAAGATGAAAAATCAATTTTGGTGTTACCATAAATATATAGCAAAATTTTCAACTCTGAATGAATTCTTCGAATTCTTTCAATATCATCAATTTAAAGATTTTAGACCATATCAAAATTTGTTTAACAAATGACAGAGTCATAACTATAAATATAAAAAATTTTCGTAAGTATGCCTACGAAGCATAGTTTCTATTAAATGATGTTCCTCTTGATGAACAACCATATTCATCTATCCATCATTCATGGGCGAACGGTTAATAAATTTACTCGCTTTCTCATTTATATAATAAATCTTTTCTAAAATATCCATTCTACCTATTCAAACTTCTCTCGTCTTATCACTTGATGTCCAACAAAAAATTCCCAAATATCAGCATATTTCTTTTGACATCTCTACAAAATAATGATGTCTTCACTAAGTTGATATTGGAATTGGGTAAATACTTAAAAATAATAATATGTTACATATGTGAGAATTTTTAATCTTTGGTATTAAAAATAATGTTTATAAGGAATATTATTAATTTTATTCTCGGAGCAATCATCCAATATAATGATCTATGCATTTGGTCTATGTGAGATAGTAAATATTCACGTTCTTTTTAAGAATTCGCAAAGTTGTTATCGAAACCGTCGAAATCGTCGAAACTTTCGAGACCCGTCGAAACCCATCGAAACTGTCGAAACTGTCGAAACAATTTCTGAAAAGTTTCGACTTTTGCCAAAATGGGTTAGGGTTTTGCCCCGAAACTATAATCTGTAACTCTAATAGTAGTTAAAAGATGAATATAAAAATCTAATGATCTTTCCTGAAAGAAATTTCAAAAAACTTATAATAGAATGGATACTGACTAATTTTGTAAAATGACATTATTGAATATATATTTATCATGAATTTTTTAACGAAAATGTTCCATTTATAGTAAATCGTTTACAATAATGAAATAATATTTTTAATTATCTTGACAATTATATAAATTCATCTCTTTATCACAATCACTAATTCAAATATTAATTCAAAACTATTATCACCTGTATTTTTTTTTATTTCGTTAAAACAGATTTTTAAATTACCGTCTCTTTTTTTTTTTTAGTTTTCAACTTTAATATTTTTTTTTTTTAAAAAAAGGGGGTGCTGAAGATATTAAAGGCCTTTTCTTTTTCACTAATGTATGATTTTTCTTTCAATTTTAAAGTTATACAATAGCAAAAATATTTTATTTTTGGTCCATATTTTAATATTTTTTTTTTTTTTTTTTTTTTTTTTTTTTTTTACAAACCCACCCTTTTTTAATAAAAACCCCATATTTCATAGGAATTACATTTTACTTTTCCAAAATAATATTATTTTGAAAAAAAATTTTTATTATAAAAATAAAACACGTGTAGAAAAGATGCGAAAAAATACTTTAAAGTTCTTTTTGTTGATTCCGTCTCCGTTTATATTGATTTCGGACTTTTTGACAAAAATTTTAAGGGGTTTGTTTACGGACCCTTAATATTATTTTATTAAATATTTAATTACTAATTTCCGAGTGAACTTTTTAAGTTAAAAGTTTGATAAAGCTCGAGCTTCTTAAACGAGACCAAATTATACAAATTATTGCGGCTTTATAATAATTGATGTTATCGTTATTATATTCTGTTAAAATACATTTAATAGAGTATTTCACAAATTTGTGGTGGCGCATCATATAATTCTGAAATTTATTACATACGGTTTGACAAATAGAATAATCGAATATTTTTGCTTGCAAATTCAAATATCATTATTAGTTGTCAAGGAGAAAGTGCTTTCTTCATTATTTCTTTTTGTGTAGATTCAAAGTTTCATTTTGGAAATTTTTTTTTTTTATTTATATTTTCAATTTTTTTTTTCTCAAAACTTTTTTATTAACGATTGCAGCATATTTGATTTGATACCTTCGGTTTCTATATTAGAGTCAAATAATGCTGTTCCTTAATGAATTTTTGAGTTTTAACTTTTTGACATGATTATTTAAAATTTTTTTGATGTCATCTTTACAGTAAAAAATTATTAAAATGGAGTAATTTGTTAAAATGGATTATCATAAAAACGTTATGATTTCTTTTGAATCGGTTTTTTTCTAAGAAACATTGATGACTTTTTTTTCTTTTCTAATACTTTTTCATTTGGAAAAGACTTTGCAGGTATAGAACTTGTGAAAAAAAAAATCCTGCCTGTTTTTCAATTGTCGTCGTTACAAAATTTGGGTTCTGATAACCCGATCTAAATTCACGTAAATTAGCAAAGAAAGGAGTTTATGATTCAAAATCTTGTGGAGTTCAAGATTTTATTTCCTTTAAAAAAAAAAAAACTTCGTGGGAAAAAAAAAGTCGAGAAAAATTCAAATATCATCTTTATAGTAATATTTTTTTTTTGAATGATGTTCCGTTGGTCTACCGAAAAATGTTAAAGTCTATTCGTTATAAAATCTTCTAAGGGCAGACTTTCTGTTAAAAGAACTATTACCACATCTTAAAAGAACCTGTTGGTCTGAAGCAAATACATATGGGAGGTTTGCTATTAAAGTCGAATAAGATTTAATGTTCGGTAACTCGAATTTTTAATTTAATAACAAAATGTTGGTGCGTTAGGTGTCGATTTTCAATGGGATACTAAATATAGAAATGATCGAAGATGATCGTCAGGGATGCTGGTTAGAAAATTTACTAAAGACCTGACTTATACAAAATAAGCAATCTAATTCCGGTAAGATAAATATAGATTTTTCTTTTTTTTGTCGATTCGGAATGTATACATACATGAAAAAATTATTTAAAGGAAAAAAAAAAAAGATGATTTCAAAGTTGCGCAATCAAAAAATTTAAAATCTTTTAACTAATAAAAATCATGAACTCCAATACATATCTTAGTAAAGAATCATCTCGGAAAAAACCGCAAACTTTATTACAATCGATTGAATTCGAGAATTATGGTTTCGAAAATATTCTTGATAAATTTAGAAACTTGAATAATAGACGGTTTCATAATAATAATACTTCAAACTATTCATTACCTAATGATGAAATAGAAATTAGTAGATTACAATTATCACATATTTTATTAAAAAACGCATTTGGTGGTAATTTTTCTTCTCCAGTACATAATAAATTAAGTGACGGAATTGCTGTATTAGATGTAGGGTAAGTTTATATTCATTTAAGAATTTATTCAAAGTAATAAAAATTCAACTATTCATTAGATGCGGAGCAGGACACTGGGTTATCGAAAACGCGGAAAACTATCCAAAAAGTACATTTGTTGGACTAGACATGTCTCCAATTTTTCCGAAGGACAACAAACCACAGAACGCCGGATTTATCGAATGCAACGTGCTCGATGGAGGACTCCCCTTCCCGTCAAACACTTTTGATTTTGTACATCAAAAATTGATTCACGCCGAATTCACTGAAAATCAATGGTTACTACTGATAAAAGGTATAAATTCCTATCCTTAGGGACAATCGTTAAAGTTTTTCATTATTCAGATTATTTTTTTCGTTTCAAAGAAATTGCTAGGGTTTTAAAACCTTCTGGATATGCAGAATTCATGGAAGTGGAAAATTATATTCAAAATTCAAGACCTCATTTAAAAGAATTTCAAGAAAAAGGTAAGAAATTTGCTAAATGTCTAAAATCAATTTAAAATATTTGACCTTTTTCTTCTTTTGTAATTTAGTTAAACGATTTTATGAAGCAAATAATTTATGTTTTGATATAGCAATCAAATTAAAAGATTTTATTGATTATACAAAATGTTTTAGTGAAGTTAAAATTGATACTCGAAATATTCCTGTTGGAAAATGGGGCGGATTTTTTGGTGAATTGGTATGTATAGTAATATATTTTGATAATTATAAAACCTTTATCCTGATTTTTTTTTTTTTTATAAAAATAGATGTTAATTTATTTATGTATGACCACTGAAGCTTTCGCAACAATGAAGGGTAAAATGATTAATTGCACTAAAGAAGAATATGATAAAATATATGAAAATATTTACAAAGAAATCGAGGAAAGTAACACAAATCTTGTTTATAAGCGATTTTACGCGCAAAAAATTTGATCATATATTGATAGGAAATTTACAAATAACAGGAGTTAGAAAATTAAATTTTTATTGAACGCATTTTTTATATAATTATTAATTATCAATGAAATCTTATAATTTCAAGGCAATTAAATTATTTTATAAAATAATATTTAAGAGAGAATTTATACGAATGTCGTTCTTTTGATAAAACGATTCGTGTAACCCATTCTTAATTTTTTATACTCGAACCAGCTAACGTAGGGAATCTTTTACTCCGTTTAGCAATTCTTAAAAAGGCTTGTAATAATGCGTACATATTCATAGACAATAAAGAAAGAGAAAGAAATTAAACATTTTCTACTAAACTTATCCTTGGGTCAGAATTAGAGGGGTTACTTTTTTTTTGACTAAAACTAAGGCCTTATTATACACCGATGTATTTTTTTGTCAATTACTCTGGTTTATAATATGACATGATATATTTATACATGTTTTTTTATATTTATTAATGTGTATTTAAATTTATTATATCTAATTTACTAGTAATGAATGTGTTTGAAATTGAACATTATGATGTTCTGTACATGTATATTCAATTTGATTTCTTTTTTTTCGTGTAGAATTAGAAATGCTTAATCATTTCTTAGCTTGTAAACTGAAGAATATATGGGACCTTTGCAACAGAAAGGGGGAAACTGTTGAAAAAAATCAATTTTACTTTTATATGTCAAATATGATTTTTAGGTCAAAATATGTTCAGATTTAGCATTAACTCATTTTTTATTTTTTCTAGCTGTTTCCTCTTTTTCTATTGCAAAAGTCCCATATTGTTTCAATAAATTTCCTTTTTTATTTGTATGTGTTACATTTTTACAAGGTTTAATTGAATAATAGTTATGCACAGATTCTGTTTCGTAATTTACACTATTTAACTTCTTTAGACATGTAATAAACCTAAAAATTTCTTCAGTAAAATAAAGATATGTATATAGACAAAAATCCATCAGAATATACGTCAAAACAATAAAATAAGCCTGTTATTTTATACTTCATTATAGATTACTTAGGTTATTCAGAGTTAATATGAGAATTACATATGTTTATGCATATGTGACTTATATATAACAAGCGCTAAATATGTTATATGCATATTAAAAAATTTTATGTAACTATAATTGAGTTACATTACTCTATAGTTAACTATTGCAATATGTTACACTTACTGCTCATATTAATTAAAAATTGATAGATCATCATATGCTTAATTAATTCTAACCATTAATTTTCCTTCTAAATGATTACTTTTTTTACATTTAAGCTATTAACCTTATGATCAATCTATTAAACTTAAGGTAATGATAACTTAATAATAGAGAATAATATATGAAAAACTATAAATAAATCTTATCACAATCAACCTTAAGTTTATAATTTAGATAAATAATTAACTTTAACAATTTAAAAGAATAATAAATACGATTGACATATTAAAGGATTTTAATATATATAGTTTAGAAAGATATTACTTTATTATAGAGATTATGATGGTAATTTTATCTAAACTAGTTTTTGAAAGTAGAAAGTTTTAGGGGTTTTTTAAATTTTTTGTATTTTTTGTAATCCTTAATCTTAGATTTTAAGTCTTTAACTTGAATTATTAAGTTATCACTGTTATCTTTGTCCTTTTACAAGAATAATTTTCTATCATATTTATATAAAATTACATTATAAGAAGATTACTATCTAATACTATTTTATATAAACTAAATTATAACATTAAAATAAATATAAGAGATAAAATATAATTTAACTATAATAATAATATAATAAATAATAAAATAAATAATAATTATATATAAGATATAATAAAAAATAAAAATGTTAAATAAGTTAAAAATGTTAAAGGTGTTAATTATGTTAATCATTTGTTAATTTTTATAGTGTAATAAGTTTGATTTTATATGATATCAACATAAAATTTTATTTCAAAAATAAATTTTTTTAAGATCTTCTTACAAGT